CTTCTTTTCTTTCTTTCTTTCTTTCTTTCTTTCTTTCTTTCTTTCTTTCTTTCTTTCTTTCTTTCTTTCTTTCTTTCTTTCTTTCTGTCTTTCTTCCTTCTTTCCTCCCTTCCTTCTTTACTTTCTTTTTTTTTGTACTAGCACCAGAGCTTGAAATCAGGGCTTGAAATCCTTAGCTTTTACATTCAAGGTTGGCACCCTACCACTTGAGCCACAGCTCTACTTTTGTTTTTTTTTTTTGCAGGTTGGCTGGAGATAAGAGTCTCATGGACTTTCCTGCCATGTCTGGCTTCAAATTGTGCTTCTCAAATCTCAGCTTCCTGAGTAGCTAGAATTACAGGTGTGAGCCACCAGTGCTTGGCCCAAAAAGCTTTTCTTGGGTTACATCTTACCAAAAATTCATACATGTCAACATATAGATGGGAAAGATTTTTATTTCTTCAGGTTTCTCCAGTCATGAGAGGCCTCAAGACTCTGCAGTTCTGTAGTAGAAATTGAAAAAAAAATTACCAATCCATATGAATGTTCTGCAATGTTTCATAAGTGGCAAGTATATATACTGAGAGATAGTCCTCAATATTCCTTTCCCTGAAAGTTTGTGAAAAGTACATATCACAATCCAGAGAAAATATATTGACAGCACCAAAGGGGCCCTTTTGTGGAGATTTGCTGAGCTGAACTGAGAGCTTTTTAGTCAAATATGGGCACAGCTTTGGCCTGTGATCATTCTTTTCTTCCATTTGATCACCAGTGAGGTCCACCCTAGTGTAAATAGTGATTTATAAAGTCTGAAATTTTCCTGGTTTTATTGCTGGGCATGGTGGCTCACGCCTGTAATCTTAGCTACTCAGGAGGCTGAGGATCACAGTTCAAAGCCAGCCCGGCCAGGAAAAGCCATGAGATTCTTTTTTTTTTTTTTATTATGAAAATACTGTACAGAGGGGTTACAATTACATGGGCAAGATAATGAGTACATTTCTTATCAAGCATTGTAGCCTCCTCCTTTGTTTCCCCTTCCCATCCCTTCCTATCTTCCCCCGCCCCCCCCAAACCCCCCCCCCCCCCCCCCCCCCCAGCCACGAGACTCTTATCTCCGATAAACCACTCAGAAAACCAGAAGTGGCACTGTGGCTCAAGTGGTAGAGCACAAGCCTGGAGCTGAAGAGCTGAGGGACAGCACCCAGGCCCAGAGTTCAAGCCCACAAGAACAACAAAAAAAAAAAAAAAAAAGAAGAAGAAGAAGAAGAAGAAGAAGAGGAAGAAAGAAAGAAAAAAAGAAAAGAAAAGATGGTTTCATCTTGGTGACTTAGAGTATTTGGAGAGTAGTTTAGGGGCTGTTTTGAAATGTTCTAGACTATCTAACAGAAATAATAGTTCTGTTATCTTAGATTGTCATCCCATTGCTCATAATCCCTTCTATCTCCTAAAAACAGGATGAAGAATATTGCTTTTTCTACTCTTGCCATTATAAATTATTACAAGCATAATGGCTTTACAACACTAATGTATAATATAAGCCCCAAGTCCCGTACTTTTATCAGGCCAAGAATCTTTTTATCAGGCCAAGAATACTTTTATCCTGTGGCCAAGAATCATGAAGAAGGAACAGAGGCTGGACTCCAAGTACAGTTGTGAAAACTTCCTGTCAGGAGCACCAACGTTTCACTACAAGGAATCTGTTAACCATAAAGACATGTGGTAACAGTCAGGAAAGAAAAGTTCTGACCCCTCTTGCCTGCTATGTCCCAAGTGACTGCCTCTTCAGCTGGAGTCCCTAGATGAGAAGACAGAATGTAGAACAAACTTCTATCAGTGAAGCCAAAGAGCCACAGGTATTGCCTATTCTGACCCTTGTACAATATAGAAATAAATATTTACTGTAATACTCTGAGCTTGTGGCTTACACAGCATCACACAGTGAATACTTAGTATCTCCCATAATTTTGTCTGAGGGTAACTTTGTCCAGTGGGGCAGATCCTGAAGCCAACCTCTATGGGCACAAAAAAATTGGAGGGATGTGGAGTGGACCTAGAGGAGCACACAGAAGGCATCTAATGCAAGGTCCCAAAATTTATTTCCACTTTTTTTTCTTATGCCAGTCCTGGGACTTGAACTCTGGGTCTGGGCACTGTCTCTGAGCTTTTTTGTTTAAGGCTAGTACTCTACCGCTTGAGCCATAGGCCCACTTCTGGATATTTAGTGGTTACTTGGAGATCAGAGTCCCACAGCCTTTCCTTCACTTTTTTGTTTTTTAAGGCTATTGCCCTCAACAATCATGTCTCTCTGAAGGTCAGAAATCTAACTTTTTTATTCTTACTGTTTGTATGACATATATTTTTAATTAATTACTTTCAGAATATTTTTGTCTTTATGTTTAAAGTATATCTCTTGTAGTCAGCATATTGTTGAGTTTTCATTTTAAAATCTATCTTGATGAGGAGTGCAAATAACTTTCTCTCTGGTGCCAGCTTCCTATATAGATTCCCGGTCTTCTGCGTGCCTCTATTGTACTCCCTGAATTTATCATATTAGAGCAAAGAGAACACAAGAATTAAGATAGTCAACAAAAGCTTAATGATGAAAGTTGAATATACCCAGAGGCATTCCTGTTGCCATCTTTTTTACCCAAGTTGGCCATGCTCAAAAGCATGCCTGTCTACCATTTTAACCATTCAAGCTTGTGCTCCATGACCCTATGCTAAACATGCCAAAAATGTGTCTTCTATCTTTCTTTCTTAAATTATGACATTAAACTGACCACTCTCATGAATGTGTGTTCCCTAAAGTGCTTTCATTTATGAAAATACATAAGTTCCCCAAATGAAATCCCCATGCTCTCTTTGTTCAAGGAAGATGATTTATTTATTTTTTAATAATTCCTATGATCTCATCTGTTGCAGGCTCAGATTACAGCCTATCTGGGTCAACCTCCATTCATAGAGGGAAGATCTGGGAATATAAGGTCCCTGTTCTACATCCAGTTGCAGGCTCTTGAATCAAATCATAATTGTGCAAACACCTCCAGCCAACCATGCAAGAAAGTATGTTGTACAATCCTGGAATAATGAGAGCTTACATGATGGTTACTTATATATGAGTCTTGTATCTAAAACCCATAGTTTCAGACTTTGAAAAGATGCTAGAATGGTAGATTCTGAAAAGAGCAGGCATGTGGAAATTCTCTGACCCTGCAAGTAAGAAAAAAACCAGCCTGGAGGTGTGGTTAAA